AAAATGATATTTCATTTTGTTCCTTAATGTATGTTCTAGAGAAATGGGTAGGTGGCCCATAGGGGTTCCATTTGAAAAAAAAATATTTTTGATCAAAAAGTGATGTGGCTGAATTGATTCCTGGATAAGTGACACAAAAAATAATTTTTCAGAAAAAATCATGTTCTTCTGTCATGTGTGACTCATTGTGAATAGTCTTGACCGCATCTCATTTATCCACGAGGTAAAATGAAAAAACAATTTCAATTTGATTTTTTTCGAAAAAATGACATTTGAAATAAAGATTGCACTTGTTTCGACCTGTTGAACTTGAATATGTAAAAATATACAGGGTGTTTCATTTGAAAAAACAAAGTTGCTGGCATTTCCAGGAATACCGGAAGTCCGCCATATTGGATTGTAATGTGATCAAATCCGAAATAATTGCTTATATAACTGTACCGAATTTCAGAAAAATTCGATGACGAAAGCAGAAGTTACAGGGGTGGCCCGATACCCTGTGTCACCCGGTATAAAAGTTTCACAATTGAAATTATTGAAATGAGTTATAAGCTGTTCGTTGATTGAAATTTCTGTCAATAAGTTTCAGATGAAATTAATGACTATTTCAAATCAGATTTAGTGATTTTGCAATAAAATAACCTTCATTATTCCCAAAGATATATTTCTGAACTCTCAGAGTTGCTTTGATATTTGAATAGTTGTAGATAAAGTAGAGTATTCTACTCGCACATAATGACTATTACTCACTCAGATGATTACAACACTCGCCTTCGGCTCGTACTGCAACTTTCATCTTCGTGTGTATATAGCTATCATTATGCGCTCGTTGAATAATATACTATTAGGTTCCTATAACGAGACAGTGGAGCAATTGAATAGCAAAATTCATTATCGGTCCACTCGCCCATTGTCCCTATAAGTACAGGGTAATCAGTTAAGGGAAGCGAGTGGCCATATATTATTCCATTAGATATTGGTCGTATAGATTCGAGAAAAAAAAGTCATGATAAAAGTGGCCAAAAGAAATTGCTGGAAATCATTTTCGAGTAGAAAACTGATGAAAATATATCGATGATAGCATTCTCATATCAACTGACCATTTCCCTACATTTTTTGATTTTTTGTCCGAAACGTTTTGTTCTATCTATCAAAATAAAGCGGTGGGGAAAAATCAATTGTTTTTTTAAACAAACCAAGAATTCTCCCGTTAATTTCGACAGATTTAAGCAAACCTGAGCTCATATAAAAGAGCATAATTTGCCCAACAAAACGTTTATTTGGTTTTGAATTTTGACTTTTGCTGTCGCCGCTAGATGGCGTTAACTGAAATCTTAGCATGTTTTGAGTTTTTTTCGAAAAAAAACGGATGTAATGATATATTTTGTTTTATATGTTTCAAAAGAGGATACATTCCTCTATAATTTGATGATAATAATTTATCATCTACCTTGTTTCGAACCGTTGATATTGACCAAAATATAATTTTATTACATTTGAAATAGCACGCCACTGTTTTTTATCAAAATAAAAATCAATTTTGTAATCTCTCATTAGTTGCTAACAAAAAGGACTTCTCGACTTTTTTTTGTTAGACAAACGGTTTTGGATTGAAAAAATAAAATAGGTTTACATGAGGCGCCCATATCTATAGTTATTTATTATACAACGGAAAAAAGTAGTAGATTTTAGCTCCAGGTTGTGTTGTCTCCCGACGCGTAGCGGAGGGAGACAAACAACCGTGAGCTAAAATCTAATATTTTTCCCGTGTATAATACACTATTTTTTTCTGTGACAGATGAAAGGACAAATCAATATTGAGAAGATATTAAATTATTTTCAGATCTGAAAATCATCGACGTGAAATGTTAAGTTTTCAACAGTAGGGACACCTGCGTTATAGGCATCTTCATCATTCTTTTGAAGTAATCAATTATCTGATGTCTGTCAGTCTGATTCTGTGATTCGATTTAAAAAAATTGCGAATTTAGTGGTTGTTTAGTAATATACGTAACCGCGAAGTCGAATGGAAGATAAAAGGACTTGCAGTTCTTTCTCGGAGACGGTATTATTGACTCATTTTTCGGAACTATCGCACAACAAAAGCCATCAACAGTGTATATATATGTGATTTATATCCGGGAAAAAAGTACTCACTTTTTTCCCACGGGAAAAAGTAATTCATGAAAAGTGACATTTTATAACCTGCCAACAGAGATGAAATGCCAAACTTTTTTCCCGTCACAGAAAAAAAATTATTTTGGACCTTATAATTATCATTGTAAACAATATGTAAACCTATTTTATTCTTTCAATCCAAAACCGTTTGCCTAACGAAAAAAAGTCAAGGGGTTATTCTTGTTAGCAACTAATGAGAGATCACGAAACTGATCTTTATTTTGATAAAAAACAGTGGCGTGCCATTTTTTAATGTGATGAAATTATATTTTGGTCAATATCAACGGTTCCAAAAAGGTAGATGATAAATTATTCTCATCAAATTATAGAGGAATTCATCCTCTTTTGAAACATATGAGAATTTATATACCAATACGGTTGGTTTTTTTTGTAAACAGAGTAGTCGAAAATTCAAAACAAAATAGGCATTTTGTAGTTTGCTAAAATCGGTCGAAATGAACGGGAAAAAATGTGGTTTGTTTGAAAAAACAATTGAACTTCCCCACCGCTTCATTTTGATAGATAGATCAAAACGTTTCAGACAAAAAATTTAGGAAAATGGTCAGTAAATATGAAAATGGTATCATCGATATACTTTCATCAGACAAAATCCTATAAAAATACCATTTTTCCACTTGGTGTTGGTTGTTACGCCCTCTACCGGACTTTTGACTATCTCGAAAATGATTTCCAGCAATTTCTCTTGGCGACTTTTATCATAATTTTTTTTCCTCAAATCTATACGACCAATATCTCATGAGATATGGCCGCTCGCTACCCTTAACTGATCACCCTGTACAACAGCCTACCAGTTCAAAACTTCGGATTTCACATTTTCTGACTTCAATATATTGTAATATGTTTTCAATATTCATGGAATCCTCGTTCGTCACGTGACAGAAAAAAAAGTATTGTACACGGGAATAATATTGAATTTTATATCTCGGTTTTTTGACACATTCTCGAACTGACATCTATTTTGCCTTGTATGATAAATATCCGTTTTCTTTTGGATATGACGTTAACTTTTCTATTTGCAATAGGACACCCTCTATTTTGAAACATTTTCGAATTTTCATACAATTTTTGAGTTACACGAGTTATTCTAGAAATTTGAATTAATCACTAACCATAAACACAACGCAGGGTACAACATGAAGTTATAGTCATATTGTAGCCATCTAGTGCCAAAGCTCTAAGGAAGGATCCAGAAATCGCGACACACACTGTGTGGCGCTGCCATCTTTAGTCACATGTACTGATCCTTACGTCTATACGCTACAGAGTGGTACTACAAGTAAACCACTCTGCTGACAGATGGCACTACCTGACATACTTGAGTGGATATTTCCACCACCTATTGAACTACTAGATCTCGTAACCAAGAGATCTAGGATGAACAGAGTTGCCCCGATTGTCAGCAGGAGCGAGACAGTACTGTTTCGACCCACCAGGTCTCATCAGCCGTTCTCGGCCTGCTGACAACTGGGACAACTCTACGTGTGTGTCGCGATATCTGGATCCTACCTTAGAGCTTTGCCACTAGATGGCTACAACATGACTATAACTCCATGTTATAACCCTGCGTGTTCGAAATAGGTGATATCCGAAGCGTACAGCTGTCCCAGTTGTTAGCAGACCGCGAGAGCGGCTGATGAGACCTGGTGGGTCGAAACAGTACTGTCTCGCTCCTGCTGACAATTGGTTAGTTATGAGATCTAGCAATATAAACACAACCACAGAATAATCAACAGGATGCGCAGAAAAGTTGGTCCAGAAATCTTCTAATTGACACCCCATTATTTCTTCTCATGATTTAATTCAATTGAAGAATTATTCCTAGGTTTGATTAACTCTCGTTTAACCATAACCTATATGATTTCAGAAATATTCCATAAATTGTGATTTTCTGCATAATAACTGCCTGAAATTTTGAGTTTTTCCTAGTGAGCTGTGCAAAATATCTATCGACAAATGAAATAGAGTCATAACATATAATAATAATATTACAGTAAACATTTTATCACATTCGTCATGAATAACTAACACATTAACGAATTCTGTATAATGATTATACCCAACATCAGCCATAATTTCAAGCGGTGATCATGCAGAGATAGAAATAAGTCCCTACTGTAAGTTTACGATGTAATATCTCCGAAATCGGGTTCAGGTTTATTGGCCAGTTCAATGAAACTGTAAGGATAAATTTTGAAATTATGATTCGTTATGAATATGATGCGTTAATTCGAACCAGAATTCAAAAATGTTATAAAATACAGGTTGTCCTATTGAAAATAACAAAGATGACTACACTACCAAAAAAACTGGAATCTTCACGATAACAAATATATTTTGGTTAGATTTTCAATGTTCCTTTCACCGTTTCTACAGATTTTCAGAATCATAACTACTTTCAGAAGGTGGTTCTGTGAACTGGGTATTACAGAATCATAGTATACTCCCCTTTTCTCATTTGTATTTCTAGTTCTATCTCTGAAATGTGGAACATCTGTTATACTCATTAGAATCAGAGGGCACTTTCTCATAATCCGTTGAATATTATTATAATGAATTCCACAAAACCGGAATTCATTGGATTATTTTGAACTATTAAGAAGATATTTCTGTCTCAATAAGTCGGACAGAGGAAGAAGTTTCGATATATTGCGCAGTGGAGTTTTGAGAGTTGACACAGCACATGCATTTTTTTTATATATGAGGGCGTTAGTTATACGGTTTAAACTGAGTATAGTTTTATATAAAGCATTTTTAGTTATGATTTCCTAGTCGCTCATTTTTCTCTTGATTTAACTTTACAGCTATCGAAAATGCCACGCCTTATAGTAGCAAGCCAAGCACCAGGTTCACTACCCAAGCCCCAACTCCAACAGCTGTCAAAACCTCCCCACTCCCCAGAACTGATTCACAAAGCGAAGGTAACACATGTTTTTGACAGGTCAGATAATACAGGTTGATTTTCCTAAGATTCCGAATTGTATAATTGTGTATTAGACTTAATTCTGAGAAAGTGTCTATGGAATTTGAAATCAACACGAAGTAATAAGAAAGGATCCCGCACGTTGTTGAGGTGAATTGGTTCGCGGCGAAAATTTATGAATTTTCAGTAGGTACAATGATGGAAATAAGATATGGTGCGCGTATTCGGCCATTATTACGTATTGAAAATTTCAGAAAAATCACTCCGCCTACTATTATTTCTCTACTTCACAACGAGCGAAACGTTGATTCTACACTTTCCCGCTAGATGGTGATGCTGCTATTGCTGCTGTGACGAGTGGAAATGAAATGGCAAATGGCATTTTAGGTACGCGGAACATATGTAACAGTGGGATTATTCAACTCTGAATTTGAAAAACTGACAGATGTCATAATTGTGCAATGTCGCCATCTATTAGAAGATCGACGAAACCATTGCTCTCGCTGTTCTCGAGAGTTCGAGTAAAATTTCTGAAACAAAAGCGCCATATCTTATTTCCATCGTTGTAGGTACCTATGTTGCAGAACTCTATTGTTATTTTAACCATTGACGATAATCATGGTGACCCTATATGGTGAATCAAGGATAGATGTCCAAAACTTGTAAAAAAATCGTAATATCACATTGAATAATTTTATTGAAAGTATTATTGCTTCAGATTATACTTCAATATCATTAAACTGAGTACCTACATATTATGTTTCACTTATTTGAATGAAGAGCGACATTTCCACGTGAACAAAAAAAAAGAAGTCAACAGATATTTCTCCTCCTACACTTAGGTTAGATTCAGCAAATTTTGAGCACGTATCGTGAAATCAACGTGTACAGAGTGGGCCAAAGTTTACACTTTTGAAGGAAAAGTCCTATTTTTGAACCAGATGGAAGAAAACTGATGTCGGTGCACAAGGGTTGATTTTCATGAAAAACTCAATAGTGAAATCCGCATATCGATATCTGTCTTCGTTTTGGAGTAACAAGGTGTTTTTAAAAAATGAGAAATTTTGTAAAGGGGCTACAGATTTTTTTTTGCAAAAATTGTCTGTTCTCATGAAAATAACTGCAAATCATTGACTAATTTCAGTGCCTGACGATCAATTTTCATGACAAAGACAATAGAAATGGTTTCATGAAAACGAAGAATTTTTCTGAAAAAAAACGAGTTTAGGCCATTTTTACAAAATTCACATTTTCAAAAACCACCTTGAGACTCTGAAATAAAGATGGATATCGATTGGACTGATCAACAGGCACCGACATCAGTTCTTTTCTTATTTATATGGGAATAGGACTTTGCCTTTAATAGTGCCCAATTTGGCTCACCCTGTACATTGGCAAGTACTCCACCCGCCGTCATCAGCCTTTTCTGTTCGCGGATAATTTTCGCTACAACCCGTACACTCGTCTCCAAAAGACTCCACGTCATCTGAAGAGTCACGGAATGAACGACAACGTTTCGTCATCTTCGTACGAAGATGATGATATCTTCCTTGAATCAACTCTCCTCTTCTTTCGGTAAACCTTCTATCGCAAATCCATGGGGATAGGTGGCTCACCCAAAAATCACATTGTCACGGAGAGGTCCACATATTTTAATATCAGGAATACAAAGCATATTACTTGTAATTACTTCAGACCATATCTAGTTCGGAAACTTCAAAAATCAGGGAAATGATGGAACACTGAAAAAGCTTACTAATAAAAAATTCAACCTAACAAAATATTGAAATATTTTTGTACAAATTGTTCACAGCTGATTCACGACCTGGCCGTAACAGTTTGAAGTGACATTAGAATTGAAGCCTCAGAACATATCGAGGAGCGAACATATTGTCGCAACTCAGATGTTGACCCTCCTCCTATAGGTCGTAAGTTAGCAACTTGCTTGACTTTTTGACGAGAGGTTTCGATCATTTCACCACCCAAACACATCCATCCCCATATTACCTATCGCCTAATGATGATGAATACAACAACCTCTTTGAGTTTTGATCACTCAAACTGAACTTCATTCAACATCTGGATTCATAATCATGGAAGACTCCAATGTACACAACGCAGCCTGGCACAAATTCTCTAACAAAACAGATCATGCAGGTCATCAAACTGAGGCCTTCGCCATTACTCATGGTCTAGAACAACTAGTCCAACTACCGACCCGCATTCCAGATGTAATTAACCAGTCTGCTGATACACTAACTGTTTTTCTCACCAGCAATCCTGATCCTTATAGAATAGCAGTTTTTGCCCCACTTGGAAACTCTGACCACACCCTCATTTCCACAACCTGCTCTTTCCATGTACCACCCAGCACCACAATTCCTACCCGCCTCATGTGGCATTACAATTCGGCCGACACGGAAGAGAGTTTGTTTCTCCTCAGCAGATCCAACGCGATGTGCTGAGACAATTTCTGAAATTATCATGTCGGGGATGCGAACCTACATACCGAACACTGCAAGGAGAACATCTTCCGATAAGGCCTGGCTCAGTAGAAACTGATCTAGAGCTGTCGCTTCCAAACAGGCAGCATACCATCGAAGGCAGAAAAAGCCAGGCCCTGAGACTATAGAGCAGAATAAGTCGAGGCTAGAGGCATATGCAATGAGACAATTCGATCATCAAAGGATGCTCATAATGCCAATATAAGATCAAAACTTGTTGAATGTCCCAACGGATCCCGTTCATTTTGGTCCTTCGTCAAAACTGTATGAAGAAACTTCACTTCCAGCTCGTTTCCTCCTCTAACCAAGGAAGATGAAACACTAGCCACAAGTGCGCAGGAGAAGACCCATATTTTCGCTCATCCATTTGCTGAAAATTCCACTCTAGATTCATCGAGGAAACAAGCTCCAAACATTACGCCAATTGACAGTCATATGCCCGAGATCACCTTCCGCAAACGCACTACAAGGAAGATCCTATTGGGTCTCAACAACAAGAAAGCTTGTGGCTGCGACGAAATCCCTCCTATTGTTCTCAAGAAATGTGCTCCCGAACTAACACCTGTACTTTGCAAGTTGTTTAATCACTCTTACAAATTTGGGATATTCCCGTCCAACTGGAAAAGTGCAAGAGTACAACCAGTTCCTAGAAAAGGCAGGAAGACCCTACCTACCAACTACATACCGATCGCACTGGTATCTATCATTTCAAAATCATGGAAAAAATTATCAACATCGAGCTCATGAAATACCTGGAACATTGAGGTATTATCAACGATAGGCAACGATATGGCTTTTGTCATCAGAGATCAACTGATGACCTGCTCGCTTACGTCTCACGTATATGGCAGTAATCTATTGAAAATTATGGTGAAACCTTATCCGTGGCAATTAATATCTCCAAGGCATCAGATCAAGTCTGGCACCACGGACTCCTCGTCGAGCTTCCATCTTATGGCTTGCCTCCCCAACTATGTTCTCTGCTAGCCAATTTTCTCTCAAATAGGTCTCTCCATGTAGTGGTCGACGGAGTTTTATCTGACTCTCTTATCATAAACGCTGATGTTCCGCAAGAATCAATACTGGCACCAACACTATTCTACTTCATATCAACGATTTGTTGAAAGCAACTTCATGTTCAGTACACAGCTTCGCGAATGATAGTGTCCTCCATAACGCCTTCTCTTCCAGGACTCCAATACCAGCCAGGCAAATCAGAAATTCGATGATTGGTATTACTATCACCAATAACCCTTCTTGGGAAAATCACGTGAGATAAGTTGCTGAAAGTGCATCCCAAAAACTTGGGTTTCTGTTTCGGGCTAGGGGCTATTTCACTTCCAGTCAGCTGCTTATGATTCATAACGCACAGATCCGACCTGTCCTGGAATATTGTTCCCATATTTGGAGTGCAGCACCCAAACATACCCTGAAATTGTTGGATCCTGTCCAAAAAAATACAAATTCGTTTCGTGGGTGATTCCTCGCTCACAAACTCACTCACTTCTCTAGAACACCGTAGAAAAGTTGGTGATCTTTCTCTTTTTTATAGATATTTTTATAGACGATGCTCTTCTGAAATATCAAAAATTGTTCCATCCTTGGCAGTCCCCGCAAGATTAACCCGTCGAGTTGAGGCTTCGCACCCCTTCGTGGTCACTTTGGAGACCTGCAGAACATCTCTTCTCAAAGACTCGTTCTTCCAAAGAACAGCGAGGCTCTGGAACACATTGCCAAGGGTGGTGTCCCCCGAGGCATATAACCTCCAGAAATTGAAGAAGAACACCAATTCCTACCTTATTTCCTTTGGTTCCCACGATGTGGTCTGAACATTACAGAATATCCCTTTTCGTGGGAACCAAGACAAAAAAAAAAAAAATAATAAAGATTCAAGACAGTTTTTATATAAAATTTTACATTTATTGATTAAATGGATAAAATCGTAGATAAATGCTTGCCACATGGCAGGTTAGCAAAGAAAAAGAATATACTGGCTTGCCAAATGGAACACAACGCAAAACAAAACTTGAAAAAACAGTATTGTTAGCGACGATGTTCAAATCACCCCGTAAATGAGAAGATCGCCTAACGAATGCCTTATCACAAGCGGCCTCGATGACCCATCGGTATTCGTGATCATCGTGTGATCGAAGATCGAAGCAGGTTGGGTCATTATTAGAGAGTTGAAGTAATCACTGTACGTAGACCTCTACGTCAACGTTAACGTACGAAAAATAACGTTTACGTATTGTCGTTGAATTGAGTTGAAGTCGCCACTTTGGTCGTCACTGTCATCATAACGTAATAATACATTTTGTTTTCGGTTTGTTTTGGTCATTTTTGGTTGTGTGTTTAGATTCGGACATTTATTCTTGTCAAAATTAGAGGACTCCTTGATGCACAACTCGTTGGTGATCTCGAATTTGATAATTTTGACTCATCGGCATATTTCGAGTATAGTTTGGTTAACGTACGTTGATATTTAAGGTTTACG